TTATTGGGGATTCTCAGTTTGCTTTTTTAGGTGGGAGAAGTATTCTTGATGGAGTATTTATTGCAAATGAAATTGTGGATGGATGGAAAAAAGCTAGAAAGAAAGGGGTTGTTATTAAACTTGATTTTGAAAAAGCTTATGACTCAATTAACTGGGAATTTCTATTTTCTATGTTGGCCAATTTTGGGTTTGGGTCAAAATGGATATCTTGGATGAGGGCTTGTGTTTCCATAGCAAGGTTGTCTGTTCTGGTGAATGGTTCACCAATAGAGGAGTTTTCACCACAAAGGGTCTTAGACAAGGTGACTTTTTATTACCTTTTTTATTTATTATAGTGGCAGAAGGGTTGAATGTATTGATGCACAAAGCTTATGAAAAAGGGATCATTAAAGGGGTAAAAGTTGGGGTGAAAGAAGTGATGATTTCTCATCTCCAATTTGCCGATGATTCGATGTTGTTTTGTGAGGTTGACTTGGATCAAATAATTCATATAAAGAGGGTTCTAAGATGTTTTGAAATACTTTCTGGAATGAGCATAAACTTTCATAAGAGTGTAGTTTGTGGTGTAGGCGTGGATGTTGAGGCCTTGATATCCTATGCTGATATTCTAAATTGCAAGGTCCAAGGCTTACCAATGAAATTCTTGGGCCTTCCATTAGGTGCTAATCCAGGTAGGAAATCAACCTGGAAGCTAGTGTTGGATAAGGTTAGAGCTAAGTTGGCTGGTTGGAAGAGAAGAACTCTATCTTTTGTAAGCAGGTTAATGTTGATCAAGTCTGTCCTGTTTAGTCTACCTATTTATTATCTTTCTCTGTTCAGAATGCCCAATGGAGTTTTTAGAGAAATTGAAAGGCTCCAAGCTGCTTTCATTTGGGGAGGAAACGATCTGAAGAGGAAGGTCCACCTGGTAACATGGGCTAATGTGACAAAAAGTAGGGAGTATGGTGGCCTTGGTATTAGAAGAATCAAGGATGTCAATTCTAGCCTTCTCCTTAAATCGTGGTGGAAATTCGGGAAGGAAGTAAATGTTTTACGGAGAAGGTTGTTGTGTAGTAAATACATGATTGAGGAGGGTAGTTGGATCCCATTTGCTAGTTTGTCTTATAGTCACTCTAGAATGTGGACTGATATTATCATAGTGGCAAAGCATCATCAACAGTTAGTGGAGTTCTATGTAGAGAAGTTTCAGTTAAGGATTGGGAATAGGAAAAGGATCAAGTTTTGGCATGATTGTTGGCTTGGTAGCAGATGTTTAAAAGCCGAGTTCCCTAGACTCTTTAGTTTGTCTATTGATAAAGGTGGATCACTCTTCAACTTTTATGATAGGAGATCTAGTTTGGAGGAGTGGAATTTAAACTTTAGGAGAAATCTTTATGATTGGGAAAAGGCTGAAGTAAATAGATTGGTTGTTGTTCTAAAGGATGACCCTTATTTACGCATTAATGTGGAGGACTGTGCTACATGGATTGGGTCAGCAAGTGGCAGCCTCAAGGCATCTGTTTTGTACAAGTTTAGTGACTCTTTTTTTAGGCCCTTATCTGACATTAAGTAAGTTTGTGTGGAACACTGTTTTACATCCTAAAGTTCAATTTTTTGGTTGGCTAGCTTGGAGGAATAGAGTGAAAACTAGAGATTTTCTATAGCATATTGGTATTCTCAATAGTAGTGCTTCAATACTATGTGCCTTTTGTAAAAATGAGAATGAATCTGCTGCTTATGTATTGTTGCATTGTTTTTTTTCCTAGAAAGTTTGGACAGATCTATTACAATTGTGGGGGTGCCTGTGGGTGGTGCCTAAGTCTGTTGATTGTTTGTTTTATTGGTAGTTAGGTGGCCAGTATAAGAAAAAGGTTAGGAGATTATGGAGGGTTTTACCTTTAATTGCTCTCTGGTCCATTTGGAAGTTAAGAAATGATTGTGCATTTAATGAAGTGCAGCCTTGTGAAGTAGATCTTAGTGAGCTTATTAAGGTTCGATTTGCCTTATGGAGTAAGGCTTTCAGGATAGGGAATATGTACTCTGTTAATGACTTTATCAACAACCTTGATCAAGTAAAGGTATGTGTCTAAGGTCTGTTCAAGGTGCTATATGTTTCTGGTGTATGCTGACATTGATGTCTGGTGCTGTATGTTTCTGGTGTATGCTGTCTTAGAGTGTATGCTGCTTGTATGTTTGCTGTTTGACCTGCTGTTTGGTGTATGCTGTCTTAGTGAGTTTGCAGCTAGTGTATATGCTGTTAGTGTGATTTTGCTGTATGTATTTGCTAGTGTGTATGCTGCTGGAGTATGCTTCTGTTGCATCTGCTAGTGTGTATGCCGCTGGAGTATGCTTCTGCTGCTGTCTGTTGGTGAAGCTCTATATTAGAAATGGAGTTTGAATGATCTAGAGCAAGTACTTTGCCTATCCATATGCTTCTGCTGCTGGTTGCTGGAGTAGGCTTCTGCTGTTGTCTGTTGTATGCTGTCTGCTGGAGTTTGCTTTTGCCTTTGCTGCTGTATGCTGTGAAAAGGATTGTTATTAAACTTGATTTTGAAAAAGCTTAAGACTCAATTAACTGAGAATTTCTATTTTCTATGTTGGCCAATTTTGGGTTTGGGTCAAAATGGATATCTTGGATGAGGGCTTGTGTTTCCATAGCAAGGTTGTCTGTTCTGGTGAATGGTTCACCAATAGAGGAGTTTTCACCACAAAGGGTCTTAGACAAGGTGACGTTTTATTGCCTTTTTTATTTATTATAGTGGCAGAAGGGTTGAATGTATTGATGCACAAAGCTTATGAAAAAGGGATCATTAAAGGGGTAAAAGTTGGGGTGAAAGAAGTGATGATTTCTCATCTCCAATTTGCCGATGATTCGATGTTGTTTTGTGAGGTTGACTTGGATCAAATAATTCATATAAAGAGGGTTCTAAGATGTTTTGAAATACTTTCTGGAATGAGCATAAACTTTCATAAGAGTGTAGTTTGTGGTGTAGGCGTGGATGTTGATATCTCTCCATTTCTTTTCTTTTCTCTTCAAATCACTCAATCCAAACATAGCGTAAGTAAATACAATACACTATTTTATAAATAAGAATATTAAATTATAATTGACCAATGTGGGATTACTGAACTATTTAAATTTGTAATATCCCATGCGAGTAATAAGCAGTAATATTACTATCAAAATCTCTGGATGATGTGCATAGAAATTCTCAAAAACATGTAAATATATTCCTACAAGATGTACCGATCCATTAACGATACCACAAATCCCATCATTATTCCTACAAGTTCTTGTGTTGTGGAAGAAAAATAATACACAAACATATAATTGTGGGGATGAACGTATCTGGAGTCCAGTCAAGAGTGGGGTGTGGGGGGTATTCATCAGTCAAGTCTGGGTATAAGCCAGCATTGATTAGATACATTAGTAGAAATGAGTCTGACCACAAAGCGTGGAAAAAATCGTGGCAACTCGTTCTTATATTTAATAGTATTTCTATTTTCGTCCTCATAAATTCAAGTGTATGCAAGCATGTTATAAGGACTGAAATAACATGGTAAGTGGTTCCAAACCACTGAAATAATGCAAGTAATGCATGCTACACACTCACACACCTAAGGCTAACAAGCCAAAATGCAAGGTGGCTATACTAAGCATGCTATGGTCGACCAAAACAACCAAGAACAGAACTTAAGCATGCTAAAATAAACACAAAAGCTTCACAAAGCTTGGCCAAAATCATACTAGAACAAGGATCAAAACCTAAAGCATGTTAAGGCCAAAACATGGCATTACAAGGCATGTATGCTAAACAAGCATGGTGTACCCAAACCAACTTAACACAATGCTATATCATGGTAATATAAGCACAAAAGTCAGTTAAGGCATGATCAACATGAACCTAAACTACATGCTCCCTCAAGAGGCAAAAATGGCCGTTTTCAAGGACAACAAGGAGAGGGGGTGGCCTTCTCCTTCTTAGGACCTCAAGGCACCATCCTCATCACTGAAATCCCTCAAGATTTCAGTGGTGAGGAGGCCCAAACACAATGGTCCCGGAGCTCACCAAAATGGCACAAAAAAAGGGGTCAAATAAGCCCTAAGAGGGGTCAAACAACCTTAAGGCTCAAAACACCCTTGACCAACTATTTAAAGGACTCAAAAATAGAAATTTTATATGTTATATGCTAAGCTCAAAAATAGTTGCAAGATAGGCAAAAAAGCTATGCAAAAAGGGGGGATTTAAAGGTAAAGTTGTTACCCTTGTAAATCTCCTTCACAAACAATGCTCCAGCTGGTTCTTTGAGTTCAAAACCACCCAAGAACACTAAGAACAACCCTCTGGCCCCTCAGCAACCAAGAGAAGGTGTAATACTATGTGTTTGTGCCCAAAAGTAAGACACAAATACACTTATACACACACAAAGGCAAAAAGAGAGAGAGATATAGAGATAGGTGATACATAAACCCTAACCCTAATCCAGAGCTCCCTCTGTATTTTTTGTCCAACCTAAAAGAGGGAGAAGAGGCCTCCTCTTATAGAAGGTTCAATCTTGCAAGCTTACAAGACAAGCTAGCCAAGAGGGAGATCCCTCCATACACGTGTATGGAGGGGAACAAAGTGTATGCCAGCTAGCATAAAATATCTGCAAAAGCAGATGCACCGTAGTCGGCCGGCCAAAAATGCAATTTGGCCAAAAAATATGGCCGGTCGACCATCTATAGTGCCAGCCGGCCAAACATTTGACTGGTGGCAACAAAACACAACCGGTGGTCTCAAACCATGGCCGGTGATGTATGGGGATGGCCAATAAGCCATTCCCTGTCCTCCACAGCAAAACACAAGTGTTTGGTGCAAAACCAAACACAAAACAGTCGAGTCGAGAGGTCCTGAGGCAAGGCGCGTAGCCGAGACCTCCGGGAACTCAAGACAAACACAAACAAGGATGATCACCGAGTGTTCAAACGGTGACGCCCAAGTCTTGAGGACGGTCAAAAATGGGATGTCTACAGGAGTATGTACAATATTCTCTCAAAAGTCCTTGCTCATAGGCTTAAGAGAGTGCTCCCTGAAGTTATTGGGGATTCTCAGTTTGCTTTTTTAGGTGGGAGAAGCATTCTTGATGGAGTATTTATTGCAAATGAAATTGTGGATGGATGGAAAAAAGCTAGAAAGAAAGGGGTTGTTATTAAACTTGATTTTGAAAAAGCTTATGACTCAATTAACTGGGAATTTCTATTTTCTATGTTGGCCAATTTTGGGTTTGGGTCAAAATGGATATCTTGGAAGAGGGCTTGTGTTTCCATAGCAAGGTTGTCTGTTCTGGTGAATGGTTCACCAATAGAGGAGTTTTCACCACAAAGGGTCTTAGACAAGGTGACGTTTTATTGCCTTTTTTATTTATTATAGTGGCAGAAGGGTTGAATGTATTGATGCACAAAGCTTATGAAAAAGGGATCATTAAAGGGGTAAAAGTTGGGGTGAAAGAAGTGATGATTTCTCATCTCCAATTTGCCGATGATTCGATGTTGTTTTGTGAGGCTGACTTGGATCAAATAATTCATATAAAGAGGGTTCTAAGATGTTTTGAAATACTTTCTGGAATGAGCATAAACTTTCATAAGAGTGTAGTTTGTGGTGTAGGTGTGGATGTTGAGGCCTTGATATCCTATGCTGATATTGTAAATTGCAAGGTCCAAGGCTTACCAATGAAATTCTTGGGCCTTCCATTAGGTGCTAATCCAGGTAGGAAATCAACCTGGAAGCCAGTGTTGGATAAGGTTAGAGCTAAGTTGGCTGGTTGGAAGAGAAGAACTCTATCTTTTGTAAGCAGGTTAATGTTGATCAAGGCTGTCCTGTTTAGTCTACCTATTTATTATCTTTCTCTGTTCAGAATGCCTAATGGAGTTTTTAGAGAAATTGAAAGGCTCCAAGCTGCTTTCATTTGGGGAGGAAACGATCTGAAGAGGAAGGTCCACCTGGTAACATGGGCTAATGTGACAAAAAGTAGGGAGTATGGTGGCCTTGGTATTAGAAGAATCAAGGATGTCAATTCTAGCCTTCTCCTTAAATCGTGGTGGAAATTCGGGAAGGAAGTAAATGTTTTACGGAGAAGGTTGTTGTGTAGCAAATACATGATTGAGGAGGGTAGTTGGATCCCATTTGCTAGTTTGTCTTATAGTCACTCTAGAATGTAGACTGATATTATCATAGTGGCAAAGCATCATCAACAGTTAGTGGAGTTCTATGTAGAGAAGTTTCAGTTAAGGATTGGGAATAGGAAAAGGATCAAGTTTTGGCATGATTGTTGGCTTGGTAGCAGATGTTTAAAAGCTGAGTTTCCTAGACTCTTTAGTTTGTCTATTGATAAAGGTGGATCACTCTTCAACTTTTATGATAGGAGATCTAGTTTGGAGGAGTGGAATTTAAACTTTAGGAGAAATCTTTATGACTGGGAAAAGGCTGAAGTAAATAGATTGGTTGTTGTTCTAAAGGATGACCCTTATTTACGCATTAATGTGGAGGACTGTGCTACATGGAATGGGTCAGCATGTGGTAGCCTCAAGGCATCTGTTTTGTACAAGTTTAGTGACTCTTTTTTTGGCCCTTATCTGACATTAAGTAAGTTTGTGTGGAACACTGTTTTCCCTCCTAAAGTTCAATTTTTTGGTTGGCTAGCTTGGAGGAATAGAGTGAAAACTAGAGATTTTCTACAGCATATTGGTATTCTCAATAGTAGTGCTTCAATACTATGTGCCTTTTGTAAAAATGAGAATGAATCTGCTGCTTATGTATTGTTGCATTGTTTTTTTTCCTAGAAAGTTTGGACAGATCTATTACAATTGTGGGGGTGCCTGTGGGTGGTGCCTAAGTCTGTTGATTGTTTGTTTTATTGGTAGTTAGGTGGCCAGTATAAGAAAAAGGTTAGGAGATTATGGAGGGTTTTACCTTTAATTGCTCTCTGGTCCATTTGGAAGTTAAGAAATGATTGTGCATTTAATGAAGTGCAGCCTTGTGAAGTAGATCTTAGTGAGCTTATTAAGGTTCGATTTGCCTTATGGAGTAAGGCTTTCAGGATAGGGAATATGTACTCTGTTAATGACTTTATCAACAACCTTGATCAAGTAAAGGTATGTGTCTAAGGTCTGTTCAAGGTGCTATATGTTTCTGGTGTATGCTGACATTGATGTCTGGTGCTGTATGTTTCTGGTGTATGCTGTCTTAGAGTGTATGCTGCTTGTATGTTTGCTGTTTGACCTGCTGTTTGGTGTATGCTGTCTTAGTGAGTTTGCAGCTAGTGTATATGCTGTTAGTGTGATTTTGCTGTATGTATTTGCTAGTGTGTATGCTGCTGGAGTATGCTTCTGCTGCATCTGCTAGTGTGTATGCCGCTGGAGTATGCTTCTGCTGCTGTCTGTTGGTGAAGCTCTATATTAGAAATGGAGTTTGAATGATCTAGAGCAAGTACTTTGCCTATCCATATGCTTCTGCTGCTGTCTGCTGGAGTATGCTTCTGCTGTTGTCTGTTGTATTAGCTTTTAGTTAGCAGTTGTTTGCCCCTGCTGCTATATGATGTCTGTTGGCGAAGTTCTGTAGTAGAAATGGAGGCTGAATGCTTTGTTGCTAGTTCTCTGCCTATCTATATGAGCTCTTTGGTTCATTAGTCCAACAATAGGGTGAATCTTTTGTATTAGCTTTTGGTTGTTCTCCTCTTTGGGTGTTTTTTGATTACTAGCCTTTGGTTGTTCTTCTCTTTGGGTGTTTTTGATTGGTTCCTCACCAATCTTGGGTCGAGTGCTTAGCATACGATTGTGCTTTCTTTGCGGTGCCAACCTAGTTGGGATTGTTAAGTTTAGCTATGATGCTTTCTGCACTCCCCTTGTTGATGTAATTTTGCATGTAGTATGCCTCTTTCATCAATAAAGTTTTGTTTTGCTGATCAAAAAAAAAAAAAAAAGTCCTAACTAAGATTTTTTGGACCTTCAAGTCCTATTAAATTTCTAATAGTTGGAATTGTCCTTTAAAATTTTAAAATATCAACTTTCAAATTGAAAAAACTAAAAAAAAAAATAAAAAAATAAAAAATTATGTGCCAAAAAAAAATCTAATATTTTTTTTTTGAAAAAATTGAAAAAAATTAAATTATTTTTTGTGTAGAACTGAGAATTTTGTGCCTATAAGAGCATCTCCAATGCATCCTCTATATCTTCAAATATAGAGGATTTGTTGCTCCAACCCATCCTCCAAATCCATCTCTATTTGGGAGGAGGATGAGTTGATCCTCCAAATATGAAAGGAGGATGAAAAATAAAGGATTCCCTCCAAAACACTATTCATTCTATATTTTTTATTATATTACAAATAACTTTTAATATGTAAATTTAATTTTTATAAAATTGACATCATTAAAAAATGTGAAATCATACCTTTAAAATGAGTATAATATTAAATATATTTTACAAAAATTTTAAAATTAAATATTTGTTAATGAACAAAATTACTTTTTGACGAAGGGAGGATGAAGGATTTTGAAGGTTTGTGGTTGGAGTTTAAATGAATAGTAACATATTCTATATTTACTTTTTGAATAAAAAAAATTATTTTCATCCTCTTGGTGAGAGGATTGGGTTGGAGATGCTCTAAATGAGCATGATGATGGACCATTGATGTGCAAAATTGAAAAAAAAAAAATTAAAAATGAAAAAAATGATACTATTCTCAGTTTTAAAACTAAAAAAAAAAAAAAACTGATAACGTTCTCGATTTTATTGGATAGTTAAATCAAACAAATATGTAAAAGGGAAAAAACGTTTAATCTCATACTCTGTTTTTTTTCATCATTAGTTAAACAATTATTTGGAACATTACTATGCAAAATTTGTAATGTTTTTAATTTTAAAAATTGGAAAAAACTAATAATATTCTCAATTTTACTAAATAAAACTTATTGATTCAAAAAATCTTTAATAGGACCTGAGCTATCATAACATTTGTAAATAGGACTTTTAAGTAATTAACTCATAATTTAATTATGATATTTGTGATAATCAATACTACAAATATCATAATTTGTATATGGTACACACAATTTTGACAGTGTGTATAAAAAATTACAATACACTAATTAGTGATTTTTATTAGGACATTTCTTAGGTGTGCCTTGCATATGGTATGCAAGGCACTTACACCCTTTCTATTTTGCATTTACACCTTTTATGTATTGGGTTATACCAAATTTTTTGAAAACTTACACATTGGTGACCTGCTAAGCAGGTTACTTTCCAGGTAAATTAATAAAATAATATATTATATGACTAAAGCTGTAAATTGTCACAAAAAGGCATAAATAATTTCACAAGAGGGTGTAAGTTTTCACAAAAGGCGCAAATTTTCACAAACGGCGTAAGTAATTTCAGAAAAAGGCGTAAGTAATTTCAAGAAAACTTACACATTTTGTGAAAACTTACGTCTTTTGTGAAAACTTACGTGTTTTGTGAAAACTTACAATTTTTTGTGAAATTACTTACACCTTTTGTGAGAACTTACGTTTTTTTTGTGAAATTACTTATACCTTTTCTGAGAACTTACGTTTTTTTGTGAAATTACTTACACCTTTTGTGAACACTTACTCCTTTTGTGAAATTACTTACCAAAGGTGTAACTTTTGACAACTTACACGTATTACTTACACCTTTTGTGAAAAACATACGCTTTTTTTGAAAAATTACACCTTTTGTGAAAAAATTCTTTCATAAAATTTACACTTTTTGTTAAAACTTACACATTTTTTGAAAACTTATACCTTGTCATGAAAATACTTACACCTTCTATCAAAAGTTATACATTTTGTGAAATATTTTTTTTTTTCTAAAATTTACACCTTTCGTTGAACTTACACATTTTGTGAAAACAAAACTTACACATTTTGTGAAGTTACTTACATCTTTTGTCAAAAAACTTACACCATTTCTGAAAAATTACACCTTTCGTAAAATAATTTTTTCATAAAATTTACACATTTTGTTAAAATTTACACATTTTTTGAAAACTTACAACTTTTCGTAGAAATACTTACACCTTTTTTGAAAAATTACTAATTTTGTGAAATAATTTTTTTCATAACATTCATACCTTTTATTGGAACTTACACCTTTTCTGAAAACGAAACTTACACCTTTTGTGAAATAACTTACATCTTTTGTAAAACAAGTTACAGGTTTTTTGAAAAGTTACAGCATATGTGAAAAATTTTCTTTCATAAAATTTACATATTTTGTTAAAACTTACACATTTTCTGAAAACTTACACCTTTTTTGAAAAGTTACTCATTTTGTGAAATAATTTTTTCATAAAATTTACACCTTTTAATAGAACTTACACTTTTTCTGAAAACGAAACTTACACCTTATGTGAAATAACGTACATCTTTTGTGAAACAAGTTACACATTTTCTGAAAAGTTACACCGTATGTGAAAATTTTTCTTTTATAAAATTTACACATTTTCTAAAAATTTACACATTTTCGTGAAAATACTTACACCTTTTCTGAAAAGTTACTCCTTTTGAGAAATAATTTTTTTCATAAAATTTACACCTTTTAATAGAACTTACACCTTTTCTGAAAATGAAACTTACACATTTTGTGAAATAACTTACATCTTTTTTGAAAAAAATTTACAATATTTCTGAAAAGTTACACATTTTGCTAAAACTTCTTTTTTGAAAACCCACAGCTTTTGGTGGAAATACTTACACATTTTCTGAAAAGTTACACCTTTTGTGAAATAATTTTTTTCATAAAATTTACACATTTTATCAGAACTTACACTTTTTGTGAAAACGAAACGTACACCTTTTGTGAAATAACTTACATCTTTTGTAAAAAACGTTACACTATTTCTGAAAAGTTACACATTTTGTGAAGTAATTTCTTTCATAGAATTAACACCTTTTGCTAAAACTTACACATTTTCTGAAAATTTACACATTTTCGTGAAAATATTTACACCTTTTCTGAAAAGTTAATCCTTTTGTGAAATAATTTTTTTTTCATAAAATTTACACCTTTTATTGGAACTTGTAAAAAATAGGGATGTGACTCAAGATGTAATAGTTGATGATAAGGGAAATATAGTAAGTAAATAAAATATTGAGTGGCTTCATAAATAAAATTAATAATTTTTTTCATTAATCATGATAGTGGTTACATTAACATCAAACCATTCTCTCATTTTGGGGACATTGCATCTAACCAACTAACGTACACCTTTTGTGAAATAACTTACATCTTTTGTAAAAAACGTTACACTATTTCTGAAAAGTTACACATTTTGTGAAGTAATTTCTTTCATAGAATTAACACCTTTTGCTAAAACTTACACATTTTCTGAAAATTTACACATTTTCGTGAAAATATTTACACCTTTTCTGAAAAGTTAATCCTTTTGTGAAATAATTTTTTTTTCATAAAATTTACACCTTTTATTGGAACTTGTAAAAAATAGGGATGTGACTCAAGATGTAATAGTTGATGATAAGGGAAATATAGTAAGTAAATAAAATATTGAGTGGCTTCATAAATAAAATTAATAATTTTTTTCATTAATCATGATAGTGGTTACATTAACATCAAACCATTCTCTCATTTTTGGGGACATTTCATCTAACCAACTACTGTCCCCATTAGTTAATATAATACAAGGAATTCCTCCTCTAATAGTGAGATCTGGTTGGAATTTAACAAATACATGGAAATCTCTTTGGCAGCCTACTAAGTTTTTCAATAATTCGGTAGGGACTGTCGAGTATTTGATGTCGTCTATGACGTTATAGATGGCGTCCCAATCGTAGTCCTTGAAGCTTATTATGCCGGAGAAGTAATTGTGTCATCTGAGGCTTCTGGCCCAGGGGGTTTTGCCTGTTCTTGAGGGTCCTTTGAGGTAGAGGGAGACTGGGCAGATGGGCCACTATTCTGGTTCCTGTTATTGGAGGAGGAGGAGAGTTCTTCGTCAGTATATAAATTATTGATATTATTTCTGTGTATCCCTAATCTAATCCAGTCGTCTTCCCTCCAAATGGAGAGACAATAATTTTGACAAAACTCGTATTGAACGAAGTTTGACTTACAAACAAAATATTATTTTCTGCCCGGAGAGACAACAATTTTGACATAACTCGTATTGAACGAAATTTTGACTTACAAACAAAATATTATTTTTTGCCTGGAGAGACAACAATTTTGACATAACTCGTATTGAACGAAATTTTGACTTACAAACAAAATATTATTTTCTGCGCATTTTTTTACTTCTTCATTTAAGAAAGGAAATGAATTAAAGAGGTTAGTATATGGGGGCCTCTCTCTTTTGTAATGATCCCTCGAAAATGTTTTTAATTGGGGGTATTTTGTGACGTAATCGGTGGGATATCTTTCCTTGCGGAGTGCAAAG